GTTTCAACAGCACTCAATCGATGCTATCATTGCCAGTTCATTAAAAAAGTTATTACGATCATTTTTATTAATTTAAAGGCGAAATAAAAAATAAAACAGAAATCGAAGCAGCAAGCGGAAGGCCTGGCCTTTGGAATAACAAGTGTGTGTGTGTGTGCTTTTTTTATTCATCAGGAGACTAAACAAACATTGCAATAACCGCTGTGTATCGGCATATGTCTTTTCAAAAGGAAAATATAGACATTTAGCAATATACGCGGCAATGTGTTGATGTTCACAATCCATTCTATGAACTATATAATGTGAACGAGAACTGCGGTTTCGCAATTACATTTTTGCATTTGCTTTGCTACCAACAGCGTGACTACAAGCATAAAAACTAAACTGAATGCAAATATACATTTCTCTTTGAAATAAATTTATGACCCAACAGATATACAAATACTTTGAGAATGAACGAGTTTTTCTGCGCCACTGATGCAAAATTGCCGACAGGCCATGCTGTCACATCGGTTTTTTAAGAATATTTATTTAAAAAAATCTATTATTTTCTTAATTTTACATTCTTGATACTATAAAATTCAAGTAAAAATCACAAAAAATCGAGACGGCTTGGTCTGTCGGACATTTTTGCAAAGAAAACATTTATTTTGGATGTTATGTTTAATTATTTTTTTTTTTTTGGCAAAAAGTGACGATTGCTGATTCCGAAAACACTTTCTATTGATCACCTCCTCTTATCTTCTCCCGAAGAACCTTTTCATTTTGAAGTCATGTAAGTGGATGGCTCTAAGAAGAGACACATTGCGAATGGTTTACATTAATGCCATCTGTTGGCTTGGAGAGATGGGAGAGATTGTGACATTTTTGACGTAATGTATTTTACGTATTCATGTTTTTGGCAAGTCATTTGTCAATTTGGAACGTCCTGTTTCAATATCAATCAAATCACCAACCCATTTGTTAGGTTACATAAAATATTTAAAAACAAACATAAAACAATACGAGATAAAATAAACTTAAAGAATAAATAAACAGTCTAATATTTATTTCTCACCATTTTTATAACGCTATTTACAGCGACTTCAAAATGCGAAAAATGACGAAATGTCATAAATCTAAATTGACAAATGACTTGTCAAAAACATGAATACGTAAAATACATCACGTAAATTTGGTTGGAGACGTCGGAGAAAAATAATATTTCATCATTTTCATCATAAAAAAAATATAGTTTTGTTCAAAAATTCAAATAAAATCAAATTTAAAAAATATATTATTATTATAAAGGAAAAATATATTACTTAAAATAAAAATAAATAATAAATATGTGCATTTGTGTTACGTTACATAGAGCAAATTTGTTTACATGCTAGAGATGTAAATTTAGTTGAGGGATGTCAGGTATGATGGCGCTGATTAGCGAGACTCGCATAAAAAAGTCTCCAATCTCATATATGTGTCATCCACGTGGAAGTCATGACATATTGGTGTACCCTGATTCGACTTGGTATGGATTTGTTTGTTTCTTTTGCTTAATTTCCATGCTCATGTCTTGTCGTTTCGCTCAATTTTATTAAATAATTTATTACCGTCATATTGCCACGAATAAATTAATCAATTGCGCATCGGCGTTTTGCGATGTCGTTTCATTTCAACGATTTTATGTCCATTTCAGTATATTACCCACGTCGTATGTACCACTCTATTGAGCATATTCAACGCTCCATAAATATAAATAAAGTGAACGCATTTAAATCGTTGACAATGAGAACGTTTCTCTGTCACATTGAACAAATATTAAATGAGACAAAAAACTCATTCAGTTCGAATGATTCTTGCACATTTCCACCCATTCGCTTTCTGCACCGATAATTGTATTTATAATGCAATGGGCAATAATTTTTATTGCAATGCGAGCGGTGACCATTAATGAAATTTGTTTATTGCTCTGTGTCAATACATAATTTCAATGCATTTGCATTTCAATGGACAATATTATGGCGGAGACAAAAAGGACTTTAAACAGCATTGAGAGATTCGAAACAATAAATTTATTTAAATAGAAGTCGTCCTTGGTCATGAGTTCGGAAGTCGAACTTTTTAAAAGGTTATATTTAGAACGTATAAGAAACAGCGACAAAATGTTTTTTACTGGATTCAGATAAAACATTGTTTGCAAGCAGATTTTAAATATGTCTGTATTTGAAAAAAAAGGTTTATTTTGATTTTACCAGCAGTTTAAGTAATATCAGTGTCAATTATTCCTGTCACAATTAATTAACCTATTGTTTTACATAATTTTAGAAGAAAGTGGTTATTTTAATTCTTTTAACATTGATTTCTCTCTAATAGGTAAATGGCCCGATGCAAATGGACTAAAATGTATTACAATGAAATAATGACATCATACATGATTGAAATTCTCACATAAATTGAGTTCAGTCAGATCCATAGCATGAAATCGTACTTGTTAAAAAAGCATGATGGTTAGCAAGTGTATTAGCTCCAAAATTCTACTTCGAATTGAGACAGTAATACAAGCAAAAGCTATTAAACACCCATGATTGTCTGGAAAGCTCGTAAGTGCCGATTTTATGCTCTGTTTATACCAGTCCAAAAGTTAAAAGTCAAATCTATAAAATGCAATAAATTGAATAAAGGCAAATTGAATAAATCATGAAACACTCTCTGATTACAATGAATTTGTCTTTTTCTGCATAAATTGTATTAAATTTACATTGTATTGACTCCA